TTTCAAGCCCTTTTATTTTATGTTTTTTCTTTTCCGCCTCTTTTAGTTCATCTGCCTCTTTTACATGTTTTCTTTTTTTAATTTTTTCTACTACTCTATCAATTTCAATAACATCTTTTTTTTCATTATCTGCGGTTAACTCAGACTTTTTTCCCCGATTTTTTCGAAAAGCAAGAGCTTTTTGTTGACGTTTTGTTAATTTTGTTTTGCAAGATGTGGGGGACATTAACAACTAATCTTGCATCTTTCTGATCTATTTATATGGTTATCTGGTTAAATTTATTGGTGCGGACCAGTCAATGGTTAATCTAATTTGACCGGTTCAGCCCAAGGATCAAGCACTGGTCAAACCGATTACACATTCAACTATTGATACGTATAACGGGATTTTGATCTATTTTTTTCGTATGGTTTTTACTAATATATATGGCGGATTTGTAAATTTTAAATTTAAACTCCATTATATATACGTATCGATAATTAACTGTATATTAAGAATTGCTACAAATAACCACTGGTTAGAACTGGAATTCGCCAAAGAGACCATAAGAATTTCGAAAACCTTAAAACTCCAAGATCGACGCCACTTTTGATGCGACTTTCCGTGTGGCTTGATTCGACTTCATGCCTTCTACGTATTATTATAAAAAAATGTGGGGTTTTTTTCTTTTTTTTTTTTTTTTTAGAAAATAATTACTTTTAGACAACTTTTTCTTGAGATTAGAGTTTATAAAATCCAAACATAACTTAGTTTTTATTAGAATATTCTAAATAATTTATTAAAAAAAAACAGATTTATGTTTTATAAAAAAATAAAATACAGTATTGCATACGATTTGTTTTTTTTTTTATTTTAACAATTTTGCCTTATATAAATGGTTTTATATATTTGGTTTAAAGAATACATTATACAGTATATTTTATAAACTAAAAAGAATTATTTTTTTTAGAGAATTGCTATTTCCACCCCCATTTTTGCTAATGCCACCCCCCAGATATCAAAAGGTGCTCCAAAAGAGGTATTGTTATTAAGTAACCCTTCTTTTTGGTATTAATAAAAGTTGTTCATCAGGCTTTTCTGGTTCTAATAGCATAGCGGGCTTTATCATGATTGGCTAATTTTGGAAGATCATCTCATCATAATAAAGCTTTATTAAAGTAACG